TTCTTAATCGGGGGGTAGGGGGGTACGTGCCATTCATGAGTAAGTGGCTCGCTTCAAAGTTTGTGTGTCTATTTGTGTGTCTATTTGTGTGTCTATTTGTGTGAGCAGAAGTCTATGTCTCCCTCTTGGTTGTGTGTCTATTTGTGTGTCTATTTGTGTGAGCAGAAGTCTATGTCTCCCTCTTGGTTGTGTGTCTATTTGTGTGTGTATTTGTATGTGTATTTATTTGTCTATTTGTGTGTGTATTTGTGTGTCCAGGAGTCCGACAGTCTGGAGTTGTCCTTCCTGTACGGAGACATCAAACTGGACGTGTTTTTCTTCTACGAGACGCGCGACTACTCGTGGAACGGGGGCACGCAGGCCAGCACCGGGGCTAAGTTCAAGTGAGTGGGTGGTTGGTGGCTGCTCTGGTGTCGTTCGCTCCTTCTTTCCTATCAAACATCTATCGTCCTTATCTCTCCTCCTTCTTTTTTTGTGTTTGTTACTCTCTTGTAACATCTCTAATCTTCGGCACGTATATGACCTTATTGTGTTGCAAGTGCCGTAAAACTCTTCCTGAAACTAAAAGGAGTTGTAGGGAGAGTTTAAGTGTGCTTACAGCTCCCTCTTTGTCAGACGGTTGTTTTTCCTTTCCGTTTCCCCGGGGGTTTTCTTGTGAACAATTGGTCACTTTTAAGGACAAGCGGGTTAACCCAGATTTCGGGAGTTTTCAGAAATCTTGACCTACACCAAAAGTGGGCATTTCCCTACCTGTAGGAAAAGTTTGGTTTCATTGGTGTGTTTATTTGTTTGGTTATATAGAGAAAACTCTCCTTGTTTTTTAAAGAAACTGAACAAGGGTCCAAAAACTTTTCCTTCGATTTTCTCAAAACAGCGTTTTTTCGGGATAGCCTTTTTGTGCTTAAAAGCGACCCACTGTTATGTGTTGAAGTATATCAGTCACAGTCCTGTGTCCCCAGGTACATTTTCCCGTGTGTCGTGTGTCCCCAGGTACATTTTCCCGTGTGTCGTGTGTCCCCAGGTACATTTTCTCATGTGTCCTGTGTCTCCAGGTACATTTTCTCATGTGTCCTGTGTCCCCAGGTACATTTTCCCGTGTGTCGTGTGTCTCCAGGTACATTTTCTCATGTGTCCTGTGTCTCCAGGTACATTTTCTCATGTGTCCTGTGTCCCCAGGTACATTTTCCCGTGTGTCGTGTGTCTCCAGGTACATTTTCTCATGTGTCCTGTGTCTCCAGGTACATTTTCTC